TGATCTTCTTGGTCTAGATATGTTAGATAAACTTGGAATAATGGATGTACCGATTAACAGTGTCTGCAACGTATCGTGTTCGTCATTAGACACCCCAGTACTTGCAAAGAAGACAGGTGAAAGGTTACTAGAAAAACTGAAAAGAAAGTTTGCCTCTGTTTTTCAGAACAGCCTTGGCCACTGTACCCAGATCAAAGCTCATTTACCATTGAAACCAGATGCCAAACCTATTTTTCGTCCGAGACGTCCTGTACCATATGCTGCTCTTGAGTTAGTCGATCAGGAACTTAACCGCTTGCAACAGGCTGGTGTAATACAACCAGTCAACTACTCTGCATGGGCCGCACCGATCGTAGTGATTAAGAAGGCCAATGGAACTATACGCATATGTGCTGATTTCTCGACCGGTTTAAATGCTGCATTAGATGTGTATCAATATCCGTTACCAGTTCCTGAAGACCTATTTGCCAAACTTAATGGTGGGACATGTTTCGCGAAAATAGACTTTTCCGATGCCTATCTGCAAGTAGAAGTAGATGAAGACAGTAGAGAGCTTTTGACCATTAACACTCATCGAGGGTTATTTCAATACACCCGTCTACCATTTGGCATCAAGACTGCACCTGCCATCTTTCAGCAAATAATGGATACGATGCTAACAGGTATACCTGGTACAGCAGCTTATCTAGATGATATCATAGTTATGGGTTCAACTGACAATGAACTTTCTGATCGACTACATCAAGTCCTTAACCGAGTGTTGGAATATGGTTTCCAACTACGTGAGGAAAAGTGTATCTTCTTTATGCATTCCCTCAAATACCTTGGTTTTATCTTAGATAAGGACGGTCGCCGACCAGACCCTGCCAACATCGAAGCCATTCAGAAGATGCCTGCACCAACTGATGTCTCTTCATTAAGATCCTTCTTGGGGTTAATTAGTCTTTATAGCACATTCTTGCCTGAAATGCATCGAGTGAGAGGTCCCCTGAACGAATTACTATCAAAAGATAAACCTTGGCAGTAGTCAGCAGAATGTCAAGCAGTTTTCGACAGAGTCAACTCAATGCTCAGCTCAAAGATTCTTTTGACACACTTCGATCTCGGCTTGGAAATTGTTGTTGCATCTGATGAATCTAGTCATGGAGTAGGAGCAGTGATATCTCACGTGTTTCCGGACAAATCAGAAAAGACAATTGCCCATGCTGCTAGATCACTTACCCCAGCCGAGCGGTACTACAGTCAAATTGAAAAGGAAGCTCTTGCAATCATTTTCGCTGTCAAAAGATTTCATAAAATGCTCTATGGTCGTACATTTACTCTACTGACAGATCACAAACCTTTGACTGCAATCTTTGGTTCTTAGAAAGGAATCCCGGTCTATACGGCTAATAAACTACAGCGCTGGGCAACAATTCTCCTGAGTTATGATTTTAATATCAAGTATCAGTCGACAAATACTATCGGTCAAGCCGACGCTCTCTCTCGATTAATTGGAGTTCAGCATTCTGGACCAGAGGATATAATCATTGCCTCCATAGCAGTAGAACCAGAATTACGAAGTATAGTGGCAGATGCCATTCGAAACACTCCAGTGTTGTCAGATGAAGTCAGAGAAGAAACTCTTCGAGACCCGATTCTACAAGAAGTTAGAAAGTTCCACCTGGAAGGGTGGCCCGCGAAGATCAGCTCCACAGAGCTTCAACAGTTTTACCAGCGTAGACTCTCTCTCTCAATCATCGACGACTGCCTGCTGTTTGCCGAACGTGTCATAATCCCAAAGAAGCTACAACCAGCAGTGCTTGAACAGTTGCACGCAGGACATCCTGGAATAAATCGCATGAAAGCATTAGCACGAATTTATGTGTACTGGCCGCATTTAGACACCCAACGGGAGCAGCTATCCCGTTCATGTACCAAATGTGCATTAGCAACGAAAGCACCGCGAAAAGCAGAGCTGCAATCAAGGCCAATACCAATCACCGTGGCAGCGTATACACTTGGACTTTGCTGGTCCACTTCATGGACAAACTTACCTTTTGGTAGTTGATGCATATAGCAAGTGGCCAGAAATCTTTCTCATGAAACACCCGACTGCAAGCTGCACAGTCAGTAAGCTACGTCAACTATTCAGTCGTTTCGGAGTCCTGGAATCGATAGTTAGTGACAACGGAACACAGTTTACGTCCGTAATCTCACAATCTTGTTGGCAGAACGGAATCCATCACGTCCGAACACCTCCATTCCATCCCCAATCAAATGGTCAAGTGGAACGTTTTGTGAGTACATTTAAAAATGCTCTAAAAAAATCTAAAGGGGAGGGGACCAACGAAGAGATCTTAGAGAGGTTCCTGCTTATTTATCGCTCAACACCAAACCCTCAGACGATTAACGGGGTCTCTCCAGTAGAAGCTCTACTTGGCAGAAAAATAAGAACACATTTCGATGTCATCCGTCCTACGCCAGCTCTTGAGCCTCAACGAAACCTATCGATGGAGACTCAGTTCAATCGACATCATGGGGCATAAAAACGATTGTTCACGGTGGGACAAAAAGTACTTGCTATGGACTATCGTGAGAAACATCCTACATGGACAGCTGGTCGGATCTTGAAAAAGAAGGGGAGTGTGGTTTATGAGGTGTCAGTTGGCTCAGAAGTCTTGGTACGTCATGCTAACCAATTGAAAGCAGCTTTGATAGCCAGCAACGAGATTCAATATCGATTACCTCTTGACGTTCTGCTAGACACCTTTGAAATCAAAACGCCTGGAACAGACAGGTCAGTTTCTGTGCAAGCAAAGAGTGATACTTCTTTATTGCCTAGAAGATGGACAAATCGAAAGCACAGGCCAGTCACTCGGTCGCATTTGGACCCTAGCACCAGATCCTACGAATCTGCTCAAAGGGGAGGTGTTAGCGGGACATAGATTGGATTTAAGCATGCTCCATGCATGATTGCTTTGGCGCACGCTGATTGGCTGATTCTTATCCAATCAGCGCTAGTCGATACGTGGAGAAGACTCTAGATTCTTCTTATGTAAAAACTATAATTATACTAACAGTTTTCCTTTTGTGCTTCTTGCTTCCATCTAACCTTGTTATTTGGAATATAATCTCCTCCCTGCTCAACCGTGTTCTGATTTGGGGGCCCTGTCGAGTGGATCTGTGTCCGTGAATACTAAGCAATAGCAATAGCTGGATTAAAACCATAAGAGCGAGAGAATTATAACAACGGTAGAAATAAAAAGACGTTGGCAGTAACATAGAACGAGTGATTGTCGATCTTTGATTGGGTTGCTGAACATGTTGTTTTATACAGTGGACTTGAGTGCTGTTAGAGGTCCTGATGCAAGTTGTTGCTTCAGGACTGGTCTGCGTCAACACCTGAACTAAGGATAGGGGGTAAAGTAGTCGAACGCGTTGACAACTTCACTTATCTTGGAAGTCTGATCAGCCCTAATGGGTTGGTGTCTGACGAAATCTCAGCACGGATTCGAAAAGCTCGCTTGGCCTTTGCCAAATTACGTCATCTATGGCGAAGGCGAGATATCCGTCTATCAATTAAAGAACGAGTATACTGCGCGGCAGTTCATTCCGTTCTACTATACGGCTGCGAAACTTGGCCTTTAAGAGTAGAAGATATTCGTAAGTTACTAGTATTTGACCACAGATGCCTTAGAAATATTGCTGGTATCTGCTGGGATCACCTGGTAAGTAATAGTGAGGTTAGACGCAGGGTATTAGGAAATGATGGTAAATCAGTTGATGAGGTTATGAACCTTCATCGACTGAGATGGTTGGGCCACGTGCTGCGTATGCCTGAACACCGATTACCGCGACGCGCAATGGTAACCGGTGTTAGGGATGACTGGAGGAAAGTTAGGGGTGGCCAAACCAAAACGTGGCATCAGTGCTTGAAGTCACTAACTTCTGGTCTGAGCCATGTTGGTAGATGCAGACTACCTGGTTGGGGTCCGCGTGACTATCGTAACCAATGGTTGGAGACTCTTGGTGACATGGCTCAGAATCGATCACAATGGCGTCGGTGTATTCACTCTCTGTCTTCCTTTAAACTAAGAGATTAAAATCACTTCAAATCTTTCTTTCTACGAACTAATTCTATCTTCCTGTACTATCTCCTTATATACACTCTTTCTTCTATATATTGCCACCACTGAATTAACTACTTCTATGAATCCGGTGTTCATCTTGTTGTGCTAATGCGGTATGGCAACTTGGACCGATGCATATGCGTGCCTGGTCCTACGTTGCAACTGACTGACTGACTGTTTCATACAGACTTTATAGTTTAGCTGCTAGGTAAGTCCTGGCCAATGCAGTGCTAAGCCACCTGCTGATTGTGCTTGCGACGTCACTTTTGAAGTTGAGATTTGCAGATATTGACTTTTTATTGACTGTATTCACACTCGTCTTGTTTTCTCTAGGATATTTTATATTTGTCAACAAATTCCCGTGGGTGGAAGTTGTCTCTTAGGTATTTTTATTCCTTCTTCCAGACTGTCGGTGGTACATATCCTTTCTACCCTATAAAATAGTGTTTGACCAACACTTTCTTGTAACTGACTGGACAAAAACCATTGAAATTCGAGTGAAGACCATTACAAGTACTTTTTCGATAAACGAATGTTGAATTGTCCCGTTTTCCCTCCGTTGTACGTCAATATCAAGAAATTGGAACATGTCGTCCTTTTAGTGTTTTATAGTAAATTGTATGTCGGGATGAGCATTATTGAAGAGTCCTAACAGGCGGATTACATGCTGTCTACTATTGCAGACAATAAGTGAGTATTTTCAAAATATTTTGTTATTGTGATCTTTAAATATCAGAGGTTGTAAGCAACTGACGAGAACCAAACAAAACAAATTGAATTCATGCTATTCTGCTAAAATTTTTGTTCCTCCTCTCTTTAAAATATGACTGTTGTTCTATTTAATTATGTTTATAACCAACAATCTTGGTTTATATGTATACAACGTACTTGAAACACCGTTGGCAAAAATTATCGTCACATTCTCTGCACGAAAATTCAGCAACTCCTTCACACATATAGCAGGAAGGAAAATTTTCTGCTTCAGTAGGATCATCATCCAGACCAAAATCAACGCTACACTTTGCATCAATCCGTGCTTCTTCAATGTACTAAAAATGTAAAGTATAGTGTAAACAATAAGGCAGTCGGCCTTAATGAGAAAACTAATCAGAATACGCCATTAATATGACTTTAAACGTAAAGAAAGAACAACAGTTTTTATAGCAATATAGAGTGGACAGTTTTAATAACTAGCTGAAGTCTTATTCATATGCATAAGTTGCCTATATTTCTTCATAAAGTTTTCGTAGCGTTGCTCACTCATGGTGAAACTTTCGAACGATAGTTATGAGATTAGTACTTCGATCACTGCCTACTTAACATTGATTCCCCAGACTATATATTAGATTGTTGTATTGAATGTATCTCCACTTAACTGTCTTTATTAATCGAAAGCAACCCCATCTAAAAACTGGTTGTTCTAAACAATAGTCTTTACGAGCAAGATTCTTAATACAAAACTCGTACTGGCCGCCTATTTCTGATTGATTAACTGTAGATTAACCATATTACAGTGTGTTCTAGGTGTTTATTTTTTGTACGAGTGAAGTTTATTATTTCGGAAATTTTAACTTGTAAAAATGATGGTATTAACTGATCGGTTTGTGAAATTTATACTGTTTTAAGTTTTACAGATGAATTCATAAACTTTAAGTTTCCGACCGTTTTATCACAACAAAGACCGGGTTTAAGTTTTACCATAGTACGAACAAGAATTTATATTTACATTTAGTGATACAACAAATCGATCCATTTGGTAAAATATTGAAATGACAGAGATCTGAAATGAAAATGTGATTACGAGACGGATTCTTCTAAATATCATATTAATCGATTTTATGAGACAAGGAAAATGATTTCTAAGATCATCTGCTATAGGCTTTTTACCAAGTTCATCTTTAGCTGAGTTCAAACAGCCAGTCAGTTACAAACAACGTACAACCTGGTTCATATGTGCACCAACTCGAATTATCGCCACACTGCAGTGTAGAGACAATATCATTAAGATAAATATCATGGCAACTGGTCAAAACAATAGCGTCGACGACAATAGGGATGTCTGAACATACCAAAATGGCTTAAGCCAACAGTCAACGACTTTACAGACTGATGCCATGTCTTGATAGCCTTAGCTTTCTTCCAACTTACTCCTATTCTAGCCAACATCAAGTGTCGAGGAAAGAAGTTGGGCATACGTAACGCATGACCTCATAAAGTCAATCGATGAGGATTTACAATATTATCGACCGATATACAATCTTTACTTAATACTCACTCAGTATTCCCACAATACGCGAGCACTGTTTTGAGGACAACAACAAACAAACGTTAGTAACCTACAAATGTCCTCTACTTTTAAAGACTACTTTTAATAAGCATAAAGTAAAATAGAGCGAACTTCTGTGGAGTAAACTCGTCCTTTGATTTATTGGATTCATGAACTGGACTTTGAATTAATAACATATGTTTAAGATAAGGAATTTAATTAGCGTAATGCAGTCGGTCTTCACTGTTCTAGCAAGCTATGTTACCTAAAACTCAGAAAACTATTCAGGAATATGTCATTTTAAATAATTCAGCATTATCTATTAACTGATAGAGTATATGATTCAGATTTAAGACAATGAAACTGTGTAGATATTAAGCCATACTTAACATTTTATTGAACAAAAGTATATTTTAACATCTTGTGAAGCACCACAACACTGTTTAATCTGTAAATCAAGATTTTACACTAGGTATACATCGGTAGCTTGGTTTAAGAGATAAAAACACGCAAGTTGAGCCATCATCCCATGAATAACAACTAGTTAATTTTGCATGTTATTTAGGCGCAAGTTTATACAAATAATAAGTTTAGACTCTCTAGCACTAAAACATTTGAATCAATTCTATTTTAAGCAAAGCTGATTATTTGATACGGTACGGTATCATATACTGATTTGTGCATTAACATGTTCCAAAGAGCAATAACATGCGATTAGGAAATTCCTTTCACAAAGACCAGATTGATAATCGATTCGTAAGTTTCTATTATTCCAACCAAGAAATATAATTTATGCACTAAAAACCCAATGAATGACCGCTTTTTTTCTAAGTAAATATCCGCAAAATTTACATTAGTTTAGTATAGCATCTCTAATTCTTATAAAAATATATTTCCCCAACATCTTATTTGTTTATTTCTACTAATTCTTTGGTATAGAACTTAACATGTTTAGTTGATGAGATACATTTGTATTAATTTTATAATTCCCTGACTCAGTATTCGATATATTTTTTAATTACTTAATTGTTCTTCAGTACATAATACTGTGATAATTATCAAGCGCATAAGACTTCTTAATGATTGGTATGATAGACAAATATACGACACAAGGCATTAGAAACGTGTTGTTTCTCGGTTTGAACTCAATACAAACTAAGTACTACACCATAGCCACAGAACCTATAAACAATACATTGTCCATCATCAATTAAAAACTCAGATTAAGTCGGAAAATATCAAGACCAACTGTAACCGAAAGTACCATTGGAGGTATGACTAACCCGTTCCGCAAGTTTAGAAACTTGATCGGCATTTGACAATGAAGAGTTTTCAGAAGAAGCAGGTTTTTCTTCAGTCAGTCCTTTGAGCTGTCGAAATCGATATTCTAAAAGAGAAACATCTTCTGCTATAGCCGAAATGCCGAAGGACCTAGCCCTTACCTTTGACTTGATTCTTCTTAAGGTTCTCAAACCTCTTAATAAGTTCATCAGTCTTCGGATCTGAAAGAGTTTATACCTAAAATAAAAATGTCTTAAGAAATTTCTATACCATTGCGTGAGCGAATTTCATGATTAGTTTTATTAGGTTTTAGATTTGATGCTACAATAAATGCACGACTGGCACATTAACCGAAAGCAGGAATACCTTGAAGAAGCGAATGAACAAAGTTGTTCTTCAGGGTCATTCACACTAATAGCTTATTTTTAAAAATCAGCGAACAAATTACCTTTTTTTATCATAATAACAATCCAAACATATTGGCTTGATTTTTTTAAGCTTAAACCTCAAACAACTCGAACATTGTACTGAGCCACATATTTTGCAGGATTTCTGCTGACTATTTAAATTAATCTTTGAATACCTTTTTATTCGATGATGAAAACTCAACTCTACATAATTCGCAAAACATCTTGAGGAACAAAGGTGTTTCACTGTCTTCACACTAGTTTTTAACGCGTAAATTGAGCAGGTGTCTAGAAAAATTAAAGACAATAAAAAGCGGGAATCATTAAGTATAAAGAACTGGTTATGGAGTTCGTGATAGCAACACACTGATTATCACATCTGCTTCCTAATGAGGCTCATATCAAAAACTACGAGTAGAAAAATCTTACCGAGTCAAAATAAGACCCATAAAACTGTCGTAAACCTCTGTTCATCCTGTAATATACCAGCTGCGTTTTAATCTTTTCTGTGGAAGACTTTTACGCTAGTCGATTTTCTAAACATCAAAATGGAGTCAAACATATTATTATACTGACCAGCGAGAATCCGCTTTCTAATTGACAGACAAAGGCTTGTGAGCTTTAATATTAAGGGCTTTCATGTAATTATCATTATAACTGACTACCGAATGAAACAATTTCCTAGCAAAAACCCAGAGGTGCTTTGGGATCTTCCCACGCAAAGCATAAAAATAAAAACAAACAGAGCAAACATGTAGCGGACGAGAGCGTAAATGAAGGGAAAATGTCGATTTTTCCCCTTCATGTCGGTTATTTAAGGGAAATATACATTTATATCCATTATTTTTCATAACCAAATAATAACTTGTTGCAAATTTCCGAATATTCAAAGAAGCGGAAAACGTTACTTATGTTTTCAATTTCATTTTATATTGGCAAGGACGGAGCTTCACTGAGAATCCTAATATCTACAAAATATCAGAATAACAGATGTTACGTACGAGTTCAACTCACCCGCACATTTAATTTTAGTTTCAGTTTCGCAAGGTAAAATAATAGGTTTATGTTACTTCTAACTACGTGAATCTTTTGCTTAATCCAACTTTCACTTAGATAAGTTGATAAACGAGGCCCGAAGCAGTTTTTGAGGTAAAAGGTCTCACTGTTGGATGGTTCGGTAGGAAAACCGGGGATCATTTGACAAGTATATGATTCTCTGCATGTAACCACTATTGGAATGTAATAATAATTTCTGCTTTTTGAAATGTAAGAAAATTGGGGCATTTAAAAATCACATCTAAAAAACTTGAAGACCTTGACTAAATAATCTCTAGTCCTTATACATGTCAAAGTGAATAAGTTTGGTTTATTTGATTTCAAATTGTCCGAATGACTGCAAGCGTCATAGAATAAACATTGTATTTCCGTGCTTAACAGCTATACAGATATACGAAATAAACCGAAAATTATTAAGTCACTACTATATGCTGTTCTGAGTACTCAATAATACATCGAGCTTGCGGATACAACTAACATAAACTTATTTGGTGGTTATTTTTCGTAATTATTCTCGCTCTTTCCTAATTTCGCACATTTTGTAGGATTATCGGGTGGATTTATCCGCAACATTTCCATGTAAGCCTAATGTAGCGCCCAGTGTAATAACGGTAATCTCTGCGTTCATGTAATCATAGTATTTGTCATTTCATAATGTATTTTTTATTTAATAACTGGATTTTACTGTGAATTTTGCTCTGGTTGTCATTTTTATTCGCCACGTCTGACTGCGCTACACTGTACGTTCATTGCACGCATTCGCTTAGCTTTTTAGTGAAAATATTACTACAGTCCTGCTAAACATCACATGAACCCCCTATCTCCATCAAAGCAAATAAGTCTGTATTTGCTGCATACAACAATTTTATTTTTCAAAAGTTAGATATAACAGTTAGAATTGAAGTAAGATGGCAGTATACAGCAGATGCACATGGTATGACATGTCTTCATCGATTAACTGAAATAGAGAATACGGATATTGGTTTAACAGGGTAATTTAGAAAGACTAATGTCTGCTTCGGACTTACTGCGTGAGAAAGTTGTACTGAAACTACTAACGTTGAAGAAAGAGAGTTCTCCAGGGCGTACGAAGCACTCGAACTGGAAGACAGTTGTCCAAAAATAATTCGGATATGAAGGTGAAACTTTGTAGATATTTTTCATCGCAAGGGTGAACATATTAGGTACCAGTTGACATCATACCATAAAAAAACACAAATTTGCGGGTCGTGAAGTTCGATCTATAAAAACGTGAGCTTTATAACAGTTAATTACCCTTTTACTCCCTGATCATGACCCTCGGCTTCCTTTCATGGCCAAAACAGCAAACATACACTACACACTGGTAGTGGGTTTCCGGTATTTCAATGTTAAGCTTGCTTTCACGCAGGACGTAATGAGTACAACCCCTCTAATACTGATAAACGGTATATTTTTATTAAAAAACCCTCTGTAATAGATTTGTAGCATCTCTGACTTTGTCTATGGTTATCAGAAGTCTGGACCCTTTCGAAAACATTTGTGATATCCCTCACTGCCGGGCACTCAGTATTAGTTTGAAGAAGAAAATTAAAAACTGTAGAGCGTTTTCTTTCATTTCCCCCGTAACATCATAAAGGATAGTTAGGAACGAACTGTGGACAGTTAGTCACAGGCGACAGCAACACTTATTTTACCTAGAAAAATCTAACTTCGGCTTTGGATATCTAAAAAACAATAGTCAAAACAAAACAGATTATCATTTTATAACATATGACTAGCGAGCTTGCCTGAAGAAATACATTGACTTTGGTAGCAGCAACAAAGACCCAGAAAACAATCCTGAATCGAAATAAATTTAGAACATTACACTGACTGCAGCATTTTAGCACACTGAAACATTAGGTAGCTACACAAAAATAACAGCTGAAAAGACAAAGAACAAAAAAAGCCGACCGCCATTGCTTACAAAAAGGGCGGATATAATAATTCCCGCCTCATTCTGATTGGTTGCTAAGCTGGCAGCCACATTTTCGAAATCGAGTTGCGTTTAATATCAGCCGGATTATCATTATTGGGCGCAAAATTGTTGTTTAAAAAACTTGTCCTTGAACTTTGCTCTCGTTTTGTATCCTCATAAATACACTGCTGCACACAAATAATTCTCGTTCCCACTTATCAGCTGTCACGATAACGGGACTCTGATATATTTGCTGCCTACGTTTACAGATCATATTGATATCCTAATTTTGTAATTATTCTGTATAAATATCTTGGTTATATCAATTATATTTTGGATCAATGACTGCTTATTATTGTAGACTGGGAGAGAACTCGATAGATCTCGTATACTCCTTCATGTGTAATTTATATTTCGGCATATAAACAAACTAAATTTTATTGTAATAAATTTACCTTTATTGATATATTTGTCTCACTTCATGCTTCATCCTGAAGGACTCCTGTAAATATACCTAAACCATTCTGGACGGTAGGAATTCTAATACTTGTCTAGTTATCGCGATTGGGTTTTTTCGACATCCAGTTTGCTATGTCTTACCTATTACTTCAAGGCATTTTCTCGTAGGTTCATGTTACCATTTCCACGTACTCTCCAAGCCTGACGTGACCTTGAAGCTCTATCGCTAATATCCGGAAAGACTCACTATTTCACTACTATATTGAAATAATCAGACACATCTAAAAATACGAACTGCATCTTCGCATTGCTGTTAGACAACCACAATTGCAAATACGGTGGCCGTAATCTCATCAATTATGAACTACCATGAGGTAGATTTGGATAATTCCATCAACTGTTCTGTTTCTAGTTGTATCAACTATAGGAAACACACTTCGAAAAACAAGGCCTACGGATAGGTTAGATGATTCAGGCTCAACTGGCTAAAATTGCTTTGAGATGGGAAGTGAATTTCAGGTTCTATCGTTGTATAGCATACATAAGTGATTGGCTCGATCCTAGAAGCTGAACACGTGATTACTGAGAAGCTTCACACTCAACATTTAGCACGGAGCGATAGTCAGAGATAGTGAATTCAGAAACGATTGACTGAGATAACATATCTCAGTCATGAAGTAGTGGACACATTTTGCAACCTATTATCTTTTGTATTCATTATATTACTTTCTCCACAGCTCAAATGTGTTCCCCGAAAGTGCTGGACGTCATATTGCTGATATTCATGATAGGATTATTTGATGCAGACAATAATAGGACTTCCACATGTGATCTTAAATGCTAGGTAGTCGCATCATAACAAATATGCAATTTACGGATCAGGTTTATTATTATTACTATTCACAAACATCTTATGGATACATAAGCGTTGTGAATAAACCATTTTGGGTTTCTTCAAAAATGCAATAATACACAAGTTTCAATAATGTTATTATTATATTTGCCATATTTGAGAAAAGAGAGTAATAATAATAGAATAATAATAATAAATCGGGTTCTGTGTAATTGAGAAGAATGTTGAATTTAGTTTAAAGAAGGAAAGGAAGAAAATAAGGGAATAGAAATAAAGGAGACGTGAGATATGCAAATAGTTTTATAAGCGTGTTTATGAACACAGAACAAGAATAAACGACCGTATATGTATCGTCAAATCAGTAACTAAGATAAAATAAAAAATAATTAAGGAAAAAAACAACTTGTTATTGCAGTAAGATATGACGCAAGAATAAATGGTTGTGCAGTCATAGTTTGGAGTAATGCTATGAGAGTCTCAATTAAGTGAAAAGGATAACGAGATATCAATATGTATGAGTCTTATATACATAGTGAAGATAAAACGAGTCCGAGAAGTTAATTTAAGTGTAATACAAGTTATTGTTTTAACTACAAACTTCGTAATCTTAAGAATAATATTTATTCAGATAGAAAAAAGAGAAAAAAAGAAATAAACACTTAGTGAAAGGGTTCAACCATGATAACAATAGTAATTGTGTAATGAATATAGACCTCTAAAGTAAACCAACAATTTAGAAAAATGAAATAAAAAAACTTTTAGTGCACTCGAATAGATACATTTAGATTTGTGCAATAGTATATATAGTGAAACCGGATAGTAATATAAACATTTGTGCAATTATAATTAAGAATAATGTCTTAAAAATCACAATTAATTACAAAAGATAATCAAACATAAAATTCTATGTGTTATATATATATATATATGTATATATATATATATATATATATGGTGAAGATAAAATGAATCAGAGAAGTTAATTTATTTAAGTGTACCGTGGGATAATTTGTTTTTAGTTATAGACTTTGGATATTTAGGAAAAATATATGTTCGGAGGGATAAAAAGAGATGAAAAGAATATCTTATATGTCGAATGACCAGCAATGATGTTAATAACAGTAATAATTTTAGATACAAACATATATTAAGATGAACGGAAAGAAAATAAAGTAAAATAGACGTTAAAAGTTTCAGGGGTTGCATCTTGCTTTTCAGCAATTAGATGGATGACCGACCTTGTTTGTATAAATCATTATGAAATACATTGATATTCAGTAGGTGACATGTTATGATCTTATGTCCGGCTTACGATCACGTGAGTTATCCACCAATCAGAATACTACTTACACAAATATTCGCACTATGACAAGACCAATGCCGTTCAACCGGTCTGAGAAGTCTAGCGTCCTTATTGGGTCCTATGTCCTTCTAGCCCGTCCGCTTTAGTCCAGAACACAATACCAACTTCTGTAATATGAATCGAATCTGACCAAATCGAACCAAATCGTTTATTTCAGACATACTCGGTTTATATATCAATCAGACAGACCACAACGTACCATAAAATAGGAAATAACATGTATGTACAAATAAACCAAAAATCGCTGTGAACGTGGGAGACAGTAATTAATAAACTGAGCATAATTTAGGGACAGCAAATCGTACAATGATGAATTATAGATCAAAGTGAAGCTTATAAT